ACATCGCCCGGGACGGTACTTCACATCGAAATAAAAAAATGCAAGCTGAACTGCCAATCTTTGCTCAATCGCCTCTAACCTGGTGGTTGTGAGGTGGCAGAGGGGGTTATTGTCAGTGATGATGGTGAACTTTGACCCCAACAAGTAACGCCAAAATTTTTCTGTCACCGCCCACTTCATGGCCAAAGGCTCTAACTTCATACTACTATAATTTAGATTGTTTTGTTCCGCCCCACACAACCTTCTACTCGCATAGGCGATCACAACCTTTCTTCCTTCCTGATATTGGTATAAGACGGCACCTAAACCAAGGTTGCTAGCGTCTGTCTCTAAAACAAACGGAAGGGCAAAATTTGGGTACCCAAGTGTTGGAGCAGTAGTCAGCTTTTCTTTAAGTTGCTCAAAGGCAGACTGACATAGGGAAGACCAAGAGTGATTAAACAGCTGTTCTACTCTGATAGAACCGTTCCCTCGGAGGCAGGCATTAACTACTTCATGCAGCGGACCAGCAATTTGAGAGAAACCCTCAATAAACCTCCGATAATAGCTGCATAAACCCAAGAATGACCTGAGCTCCTTTAAGGTGCTGGGTATTGGCCACTACTTAAACTCTCAGTAAGTGTGCTTACGTTACATCCTGTGTTCAACAAACAACGAACAGGCTCACCACCAATGTGAATAATTACCTCTGGACATATGCCTATGCACGCTCTAGAAATCTTTCTTTGGTCAATGGGTCACTATTTGAGCCATCAGGCCTTCCTCGCATTGCCCAGCTCACTGCAATGGAGGGACCCCGTTTCCCAGCACTGCAGAGGCTGAGGCTGAAACGTAGCTTTCAAAGGCAAGATTGCTATTAAATAGCACACCTAGGTTCCTAACTGATGACGAAGAATTGAGAGAGCAGCCATAGTGTCTTAGACAGTGTTCTAGGTTATTACATGCAGAGGTTTTATGTCCGATAATTAACACCTCTGTTTTTTCAGAATTTAGCAGTAAGAGATTACTCGTCATCCAGTTTTTTATATCGACAATGCATTCTGTTAGTTTTTCAAATTGGTATGTTTCGCCGGGCC